TTTAAAATTTTTGAATTGATATCAAAAATTCAATTATTAGTTGTTGAAGTTTTAATTTTCTACAAGATTCAATTTAAGTTTTAATTAGAATTTGACTTAAAATTTGGTTAATTTTTAATTAGAATTTTAATTAGGATTTGACCTAGGATTCGGTCAAGATTCATTAATATTTTAGTTAGGATTAAATTAACATTTTATTAGGATTATTTTTCTATTTTTATGTTTTCTATTTTAATATTTTTTTAGGATTATTAATTATTTCTTTAAAATTTTTTATTTTTAATATTTTTTAGGATTATTATTATTTCTTTAAAATAATTTTTATTTTTTAAAAATTTCTTGTTATTTTTTTTTGAGATTATTTTATGACTTCTTTATATTTCTTTTAAAAAAAAATTAATTTATATTGGATTGGTTAAAGTTTTATTAGGATTATTAAAGTTTATTTGACATTATATTAGACTTGGTAGGATTTTTACTGCATTTCTACTTATCTTCTATAGCTAGGTGCTTGGTACATTTTTAAGCAAAAAATACAAGTAATAAGACAACAAAAATATTAAATCAACTCAATGTTTTATTAAATCAAGCCACTATGGATGAAAAATTATTATTTTTTTGACCTTGTTCCTTCTATTCTCATATTCTTAACCTTTGTCTACGTTTTCAATCCTTTTCTCTTATTTCAATTCGCCTTCCTCTATTCTTCTTGTTCCAATCCTTTCTTTGAGAACTAACTATTGTTTATGTGTTTCTAGCTCACAAATGACATCCTCGCCATTATTTCTTCTTTATAACCTCCTTTATTAAAGTATTTACATCTTATCATGTGTATTCTTTTTCACTTTGTGATGCTTTGTAACAATGATGTTTCTTTTATGTTCAACCATGCAATTGCTTCATAAAGCCTGCTAAAGTTGTTAGATCTCAATAGGTAATGTTAGCTAAGTAATTTCTTTAACTTATCCATTTTTTGTACATAGAAACAGGAAAAAGTGGCCATTAGATATGTTGTGAGTTCTATAATCAACAGCATTTTTTAAAAAATGCAATGTTGTTGTCTAAAGGTAAGCCTCCATATTTGATGCAGATTATGTGCAATAGATCTCAAAGCATAGCTTACTTAGTAGAATATAAAGCCAATGTTTTAAAATTAAAATACTAAGACTTTGCTTTAATACTAGCATTGACATTCCAGCTATCATTGGAAGCATATCTAGTACAAAAATTACATAAAAAAAATAAAAATATTTAATAGATGGAAGAAGATTTGTATTTTTTTTATAACTAATAAGTACTTTGACAAGGCTTTATTTTTCTTTGCTTAAGTTTGCTTAAAGATGTAGCATTAATATCTTAAGATAAAATCTATTAGTATTCAAGATATCTGTGTAAATTCTTAAATTTAATGCTATTTTAAATTATAACTTTATTGCCAAGATTTGTTAATATGTCGAAGTACTTGTGGCAGTAAGCATGATGTTAGAATTCAATCTTCAATATCTTATAAGCACTTACAAATTCATACGTTTGGTGTAGAATCTGAAAGATAAGGCAAATTCTCATCCAAATTATGGATTATATTTCAATATTTTTTAATTGCAATAAGAAAAATTAGTCATTGAAATTGCATCCAATTTAGTCAGTAGTTGGTTGAAGAGAACATGCCAATGAAATTGGCTAGTGATATGGTAGATTTCTATAGTAGAAGTAATAGCATTGCATATGTTTTAATTTGTTGGTAGTTTTGAGTAATTTTTTTGTTATAATTTGTAGTCCAAAGAAGGTTCTTTGTAAGGTCGCTACCTACATATTCATGTAATTAGACATGCAAAGCTTGCTAATTAAGTGATTGCAAAAAGTACTAAATCACATCTTTTTGATAATATATAATCTTCATGTGATCTTACAATTATTTAGAACATGAAGCTATTTGAAAAGTATTCATTGAAGAATCCATATTTAGTTTCATAGAGCAGCCATTTTTTTGATGATATTGAGGTGGATTAGTCTAGTTATCAATAGGATGAATTTTGAAGCTTTTAGTGGTTTACAAAAAGGTATAGACTTGCTCTCTAGCACTAAAGCATCTAATTCAAAAAAAATCTTTAGTAAAGAGCCTTCTCTTGAACTTGCCAAATCTAAGAATTCACCAAGCTATCTATCAAAAAATAGAGGTTTAGATTTAAATTCCTCTTTTGAATTTGTAGATATTGAAGCTCAAGAGCACATTGCTATAGAATTAGCGATAACAATAATTTGAATTGTACCTTCGTAAACCAAAAGTTTTCAATATGAATTCATTTGATAGAAATAAATACACTAAAGTAGAGCAAATTGTGTCAATTACCACTAAAGATGGATCTAATGAAGGAGGTTTGATTGAGTGGGATACGATGTTGTATGGTGCGATTTTTTATTTGAGAATATATTGGATACCTAACTATAAAGAGTTTAGCTTCAACTTATTGGCCAAGCTCCAATAAGTAGTTTATTCTTATCATAGAAGATAAATAAATATAATAATATTAGAAAATAATCTATTAATAAAAACCTTCTATATATGATAGGTTTGAACATAAGAGTTTTTAGAGTATTTAGAAATTTCTTAACATCCTTTGTTATATCAAATCATAACTAACTATTTGCAAATAAGTAAGATTTTTAATAATTTCATCAAAAATCTATAATCTCTTTTTAAAAATCTATAATCTGTTTTTAATAATTTCATAAAAAATCTATAAAGAATTTATCTTTATATTATAATTTTATTATAGCTCTATTTCTTCATCTTTAATATATATATAAAGTCTTGGCTCTCAAAAATTCCTTTATTTTAAATAAAATATTCAAATTATGGAAAAATCTTTTTAAAATATATATTTTTCTTTCCACAAATGATGTTTTTTCTCCAAATTTTAAAATTTTATATCTTTTGATCTAATCTTTCAATTTTTTTCAAATTTTTAGATAATATAGCATTTATTCTTAAGCTTTATCACAAAAAAAAATGAACTATGAATTTATTGCAGAATGCCTTTTATCTTAAAAATCCTAGCAAATGCTCTAAATTCTGATTTACAAGCTTCTGAGTATTATTTTCTTCATATCTCAAAATCCAAAATTCAAATGCTACAAAATTTGGTATGTAGCTTTACAATATATATATATATATATATATATATATATATGAAAAAATTTAGCCAAATATTTGTTCAAATACCCAAAATATGGCTAGAACCAAATCTCTCATGAAATTGGTTCTTTGACAAACCTCAATTTGAAAGTATTGTCTTCAAATAATTGTTGCTTCTCTAAATCAACTCCAATTCTTTCGTTTTTTGTGTGCAAAATGTAGCCCTTTAAACCAATTTTTTAATCGCACAATTTGATTCTCAAAAATCTTTCATATGCATGCGCTATGTTTCAAAGTATACTAGTAGGTCCAAAATTGACACCTTGACTTTTAGCACCTGTATCTCCTTCATAAAAACTCCAAATTCCACAAAATGTTTACTAAAACCATATCAAAAATCCTAAAATTGATGATTATTATCTTTGATGTTCAAATGTCTTCTAAAGAATAACCCTAATCTCTAATAAGACCTCAAGCAGCCTCTTTGAAGCTCATTGGGCATGACTTTTGGCCAATAAGAATAGAAATTTTATCATCCATCTCCATTCATCCATATATATGGCCTAACTATCCTTTTTTATATGAAAAATATTTCTAATCATTTTTTAATAAATTTTACATAATATATGCCTTAAATACCAAATAAATAAATAAAAACAAAAAAAGATTTTAAGAATCACTAATATCTAATAAAAGTGGATCTAAATATATAAAAATTATTATCAACATAATAATAGATTTAGATTCAAATTGGTTCCCAAGTTTGCCTATTGAAGAAACATCTAATGAAGATAATGTGGGCCATGAGGAACTTCAGCTTTTCCCAACTACATCAACTAAGTGGATTTACAATGTCTACTTGTTGATTTATATTCAATAAAAGTCCAATATTGATTGACCATAATTACCTTACAATGAATTTTATTGGTTCTTCAACACCATCAAGAATGTGCCAAATGGAACAAAGCCTTGGAACAACCTCAATAAACAAAAGTTGTATGCAAGAGGACTTCTCAACCATCGTTATGGTGGGCATTATTACAATGTGAAGCATATATGATAGGATGTGAATTCTCTAATGAAAGAAGATGATAAAGAAGAAAGAGTGGCTATGAACAACTATGAATTAAAAGCATATAGCTTTCGGGCAATTTCCTAAGAAAGGATTTGGACATGTATGCTTCACGTATACTAGATAATTCTCAAAGAGAAGAAAATTAATATATGAAAAAGAAATTGAAAACGATAGTAGGAACGAAGAGGACAATAAAGGTACAATGATATTTCAATGCTCGTAGATTGATTTAATAAAATAAACCAAAAAAATTATTTAATATTTTTTAATAAATAAAAAATATATTACGTACTTTTCTAAAAAGGATATTGATTTTAGTATTTGAACTTCAAATATTCTTACTGGATAAGTTACTTCTTTTACATACAATAATATATTATTTTATGTAGAATAATTTTGTATTTTATAGCATATTAGATCACATCTATATATATATATACGTCTAATATTCATCTATTGTAAGAAATTACTTATTTATATATGTTTTAATCAATCAATACTGGACTTTTATAATGGTCAATTAATATAATGTATTGGTCAATCAATAGAGTACATTATATACTGTTTTGGAAAAGAGTTCGTTACTTTTTGACTATTTACTCTTTTGACACATTAATTTATACAGTTCGATTAGTTAATTTGCAATCAATTAGCAGAATTAAAGCATGAGTATCGCTACATGGTAATTACAAATTGATTGCAGAAGCTTTGAGAAAAAGTTATCTACCTACCATCTCCAACCTTACAGGAAGTATGCCAAAGTCAAAAACCTTAAGTAACGGTACTATATTTTGTCGAAGGAATGTTTCTTGCAGAGACTCTTTACATAAAAGAGGTGGTTATCCATATCTAAAACGTCACATGAATATGCCATGAGAACCTGCAAATCTACGGATATCTATATATATATATATATATATAATGAAAACCAGTGGAATGTTCATTTAATAAGTCATGGTACACAAATTTTTCTCTCAGAGCATGTTTACATTGTAAATAAGTGTAGATATCAATCTAACTTGCTGGTATTTAGATCAGCAAAAATACTGACAGCAATTTCGAATTTGAGACATTACTTTCCTGTCATTTCATTAACAGTAAACTCACCAAGGTACAAATTCTAATGCCGTTTCGAAGGGCAGGAAGCTTTCACAAGATTTCGCGATTTGTGGAGATAGTATTTTTCATCACCAATGAGATTTACCCAATCTCAGAATATGGGCCGCTATGTAAATACTGGTCTCACCTTAGTTGTCAATCTCCGTACTGAAATACACAGCTGTGGACACGATTGCACTTCTTAGTCCTATATTCTGATACGGGATAAGGAAGATAAATTACAGCGAAAAAAACGCAAACCTCCTGCAAGAGGCATACATAGAGACGGGTTTGAATCGCCATGATGCACTAATGTTCCAGTAGACAGGTCAACACAAGCTCATAGAAGGAGCCAGCATTGGTTTAAAACTGGAAAGACATTGATATTCGCTTCAGCCGACACCCACTCCGTTAAGGATGTCAAAGTGGTAACGCCTCGCAGCCAAAGCATTTCGACAACTCACAATCTACTACAGGAGCGATCACAAAAACGACCGGCAGACGCCACTCTGCTAGTAAGACTCACTTTTTCAAATCAAGCATTACAGATGTACGGTACGCTGGTAGGGATCAGAAATTAAGTTGCATCCACACGATTATTCGGTCAGGGATAACTGTAATGGCATGTTGATCATCAAGTCCCAATACATGGCATTTGAAATTCTTCGGAAGGGTCAGAACCTGTGATGTATCCACACGATTTTTCGGACAGGGATAACTGTTTTGGCACTTTCGGTCATCACACCGACTTCGAAGATAAGAGTCTCAGTTCGTAACAATAGAGAGAAATAGACACAGAGGCACATAGAAAAAACCCTCAGTAAACCTCTACCAGTGGACGACTCGAAGACAACAGCAAGAAGGAAAACTGACATGCCACACTCACATGTGTACTACGATAAGGGGTCCGAGAACTCTACCGAACAAGTTACTCTGCACTTCGGCAAGAAAGACACTGGAGTGGCAGGGAGTGGTCTCAGACTATAAGCAGGGGAAATGAGAGAATGACTGAACTCGAGCGGCGGATAGGGCGCACCTTCCAGCCCTAATTCGTAATCACCTCCTTCAAACCCTAATCAAGTGATGAATCTCGTTATTAATGAATGAATTTTTATTTTTCATCCATTGACATCGTTGGTTCCCTCCTTTCTCTCTGATGCTGGCAGGCTATGCCTCCACCTCGAATTAATATTTTCGGGCATCTTTAATGTGGTTTGTAAAAGGTTTTGTATTAGTTAAATTATTATCTTGGCATTAATTTATTTAATTTTTTAATAGTAGTGGAAAAATTATAAATGCGTTCTTCATTTTTTAAATATATTTTGATTATAGAAGTTGATGAGCAAACATGACAGAGGACTTGAAGATCCTATGTTTTGTATGCTTCCGACATGAAGTAATTCTTCAACACAAAACCATGGAAATAAAAATTTAAAATTTTATGTGGCCATGATAAAGATTATAATAATTCGACTTGAAAAATAAAAGATAATTCTACATTGTGTTTTTGAGTTATTGATATTTTTTGAAAGAATAAAAATTTTGCAGATATGAACACAAAAAAATGTAAAAAAAATCGTTAGAGGTGGCTTGTTATTAAATTTTACATGAATAACTTATTTAAAGAATGTATCATACTATTTGTTGATATATTCTTTCAATAATATGAAATAATAGAACTTGTCTATTAATATGTGGCATTTTTAATGACTTAAAGTATTATTGATATATATATATATATATATATATATTTTTTTTAATAGTAAAATATTTAAAAAGATTCAATAAATATATTTTTTATAAGTGTTGAAATGTCTTCATGTTAATATTTTAGAAACCAAATAGTTTTAAAATTTGCAAAAATTACATGTTTATTATTCTTTTATTATTGTGCATAAGATGATTTTGATAGTTATAATTAACTATCAATAATAATATTTTACTCTTTATTTTTATTTCTATAATATAATTTTGTAGAGTGGTTTTAAATACATATTTACAAACATCTATCTATAATAATTTATGTTTTTATAAGTTTTAATCAAATCTTTATTAATATAGATATTAATCAAGTACCGTGCATATGATTAATATGCTAAGACTATTTAGTTAAAAACCATATATATATATATATATATATACATAAAAATCATAAAAATAAAAAAATAAAAATAAATGATGATATAATTAATTATATTTTGAAAATATAAAAATTAAAATTTATAAAAATATTTCACTTGATATGTAGTATTAACAAAATTTAAATTTAAATTGGTATGAGTAAAATAATTAAAATCATAATACTATATAATAATATTAATTATATATTTAGATAAAAATCTATTAATAAATTTAGTAATAAATATTTTTTGATTAGATTTTAATATTTTAAATTATGTATTTCAAAACCAAAATAATTAGAATATATATATATATATATATATATATATACATAAATGTATATCAAGGACATGAATGATTACAAAACTCTAAAGAAGAAATATATTCTTTTGACATTCAAAAAGAAAAATAAATTAATTAAAGATAGATGTGAGATAGAATTTAAAATGGCTATTGCCAAATAAAAAGAGATTGGAGATTCTTAAGTTAAGATAAAAATACAAAAAAGATATTGACAAGAGTGAAGAAGGCTTCACTCTTCTTTCTATATAAACTATCTAACAATGGAGTTATATGATAACATTTTATAGTTCATTCAACACATATCCAACTTGTAGGACACATGTCTAACTTGCAAAACAACTTTCCCATATGTGCAATATTTGACCAACTTATAATACAAGTAGTCAACATGTGTAATACATGGCCAACTTGTTGGATAAGATTTTATCCTATAAATCACCTATAAATACTTTTAAAGTCAATTCTCATTTACAAAGCTTCTAAAAAGCTTTTCTTCAAGACATTATAAAAGTTACTTACTTCAACTTCTATCTAATTTTATTCATCATACTTAATACTAATATCAATATTAATGTGCATGAAATTATTATTCTTTTCAAAACAAGTTCCATGAAGAACAATAACCACATATTGAAGAATTCTAAGATGCAATAAATTGTATTAGCTATATACTTTGATCTTTATTTTTTTTATAGGTAATTAATAGGTTCTCTCTATTTTTTACATAATTTTACCATAATGTAATTTTATTAAAATATATATGTAATTTTTATTATTTATTTATTTTTAATTTCAAAAGTTTAGATAGGTCTTTTAAATTTAAATTAAATAAAAGTAGGATTATGAGTTAAGATAATTTTATTAATAGAAATAAATTATATTAGCAAGTTAATAATTCATCTGTAGACAAAATCGAAATCACTTTAAAAACTAGCTTGCAGCTAAGAATGTATCAATCACATACTGGTACACCTTATTACTACTTGGAGTAGGACACCTTAAAGTAATAGAGCTAGGAGTAAGAATTGATGCAATGAAAGAAATAACAATTTTAAGATGACTCTAAAATTGTACCCTAATTACTTTATGGTAATAAATAATGAATGATTAAGACTTTGACAAAAGTATTAACTTTTAATACAAATATTGCAATTATAGATATTATATATTTTAATCTATAATTTATATTAGAATAGATAATTATTAATTTTTGTCTAAGCTATTCCAATTTTATTTTGATAATATTTTATTTATTTATTTATTTAACTATCTATCTATCTATTTATAGATATAATATTTTAAAAATTATATCTAAATTTTAATTTTAAACTTATATCAAAATTCACAATATTTATGTAATTTTTTTCTATAAAGTATTTAAATTTTTTAAATTTAAAATAACTTAATTAATATAAAGAATGAAAATTTTAAAAATAAAATCCTAAATAGACTTTATACTGAAAAGACAGCATAAAAGATTATGATTTTTAATTTCTTGAATAGAAGCACTTTATAAATTGGAGGCAATTTGAATAGGGCAATGACCTTCAAGTTTTTAAAAATCACTTGAGATTCTCCCAACTAGTGTATTGAATCAACATGGAGTAACTTTTCAGGGCATGCAATCCAAACTTAAATATTTCAGGGTTTACTTGTTGTGGATTTTGCCCTCAGGCGTAGCATTGAGTTTCTGCCCAAATCAACAAGACAGAAGATGTCAGAGGGTGGTGTTGCGGGAAGCCGTCCCATTATATTTGAAGTGGTGGTTTACAGGGATTATTCCATTTAGCATCCCATGTTGAAAATATGTACAGTGAACTGATTTTCCATTAGACGACAAGGCCATTTACACAATTAGGGTTACTGACCGTAGTAAAAGGGTAGACCTAAATTTGACCAGATGGCGTCATTATAGGAATGGGGGCACAGGTTGGGTGCCATCAACACCTTCTTCCAACCTGCGTTCGTTTGAATTAATGGCTGTAAATTCTATCTAAATCATCCATGTATATGATTTCATAAACACATCTAATTATATAAGTAGAATTTAGCATGGATCCGTGCTACATAGTATATGGCAATGTAAATTAAAACAACTCTTTATAATATGAAGTTTTGGTCCACAATGTTGGATTCTTGTAAAGACCAAAGTCTAAACTATCATAAATGAAAATATTTCAAAAATACTTAAAGATATGCAATGTTTTTTGAGATTTGCTAATTATTATTAGATCTTTATCAAAAACTTTTTTTAAAATTGCAGCTCCTCTTATATGCTTGATATGTAAAGACAAACTTAAGTGGAGCAAAGAAGCTAAAGCATCTTTTGAAGCCTTAAAGACAATACTTATTTTTGTACCAATATTGTATTATATTGACTTTTCAAAGGAGTTTTTTCATAGAAACAGAAACATTAGATATTGCTATAGATATTGTTTTGTTATAAAAGAGGGTAAAAATAAACTCTATCTAATAGCTTTCCATTCTAGAGAAATTTTTAGCAATCGAGATTAACTATGAGATCCATAATAAAGAGCTTCTTGTAATTATAGATTCATTTAAAAATTAGCGTCATTATCTAAAAGACGCTTCTAATCTAGTCATTTTTGTTGTATGGCATTGTTTTCTATTTGGGAATATACTAGGTATCTAGTTATAGATGGTTTAGCTTTAACTTATTAGATAAATTCTAATAAGTGATATATTTTTATTAGAGATGCCAAATAAATATAAAAATATCAAAAGATATTCTACTAATAAAAAAACTCTTTATATTTATGATGCTTTATACATAAGGCTTTCTAAAGTATCTAAAAATGTTCTAATATCCTTTGCTATACAAAGTCATATCAAAATCATTTGTTGGTAAGCTTGAATTTTAATAAGCTCAAAGAAAATCTATAATCTTCTTGCAAAAATCTATCTTTATACCATAATTTTGCCATAGCTCTATATCTCCATCTTTAACATGTATATAAAGTCTTGGCTTCCAAAACTCCCTTTACTTTGCATAAAATGCCCAAATTATACCAAAATCCTTTCAAAATATTTTTCTTCCATGAAAGATTTTTTTTCTTCAAATTTTAGAAATTCATATCTCTTTATGCAACTATTCAATTTTTTTAAGTTTCTAAATAATGTAAAATTTACTTTTAAGCTATACTAAAAAAATAAATTATAAATCTACTCCCAATTATTTAGCATCTTAAGAATCCTAGCAGGTACTCCAATCCGTAATTTATAGGCATCTAAATACTATTTTCTTCATATTTCAAAAATAAAAATTTTAAATGCTATAAAATTTATATATAAAATTTAACAACATAATAATATATATTTTTAGAAATATTTAGTTGAAATCTTATCAAATTGCTCAAGATATAGCTCAAAATACAACCAATAGTAAATCAGATTACTTATTGCCCTTAGATTGCAAGCACTAATCTCAACTTCCTATATCTTCAATATCTTAGCTAAGAATTCATCAAGTAATATATAAAAAGTGTAGCCAAAAAAATTACGATTTGTTACTTTGCATAAAATATCCAAATTGTTGCCAAGCCTGTTAGAGTATGTCTTAACTAAAA